TACACCTTAAGTATTACTCCAAAAGTTGGTTTACATGCTCTATTTGTCTATCAATTTGAGGATGAAAAATTGAAGAAAGCTTTATGTCCATCTTTAAAATCTTAAAAAGAGTTCTCCTAAATCTTGATATAAATTGATTCCTCCTATCTGATATAATATCTTTCTACAATCCATGATATCGATAGATATTGTCAAGGAACAGCTTGGCAGTTTTTTCATATGTGATAGATTTTGTGCATGGTATAAAATGTGCCATTTTGGTAAAACAATCTAAAATCATAGATATAGAATCATACAATCCTGAGACTAAAAGATCCGTAATAAAATCCATAGAAATAGAAGACTATGGTTATTTTGAAATAGGCAATAGTTGAAGAAGTCCATAAGATTGATACCGAGGAGTTTTTGACCTTGAAAAAATGTCATACGATTGAACAAAGTCTTTTACTACCTTCCATATTTACGACTACCAAAAATCTCTAAATATTAATTCTAAAGTCTTATTGTATCGAAAATGTTTTGCTATTGGAAGGTCATGTCGTGATTGAAGAATACATAAACGTGCTTCCTGTTCTAGTATATATAGACATCCTTCGAAATAAAGTAGGTTATTCTTGAACTCAAATTTAAAAGTATCATGAGACTTAGAAGAAGTATTCTTGATATCATGAACAAGAGGATTAGAGGACATACTTGATTGAATTTGTTTGAAAAAAGTTGAATCAACAATCAATGTTGATTTCACTACTTCAAGATGAAATTATTTTGGTTTCAATAAAATTATCCTTTGTTGGTCAAAAGCTACATCTCCTTCTTTAGATGCAAGATAAGAATGTGTCGACATTACATCGAACAAACCATGTTTTCTTGGCCAATAAATAATATTGAAGTCAAATCTTAATAAGGACATGCTCCAACGAGCCTAGCGATTATTCAAAAGACAAACTGATATGAAATACTCAAAATTCTTGTGATTTGTATACATGGTGACTACATTGGAACCAATAGTTAAAAAATTCATCTCAAGAATCGTCATATGTAAAATTGTCAAATAAAGCACTTGGATTGTGTCAACTTAAATGACATCAAAATTGTAATAAAGATTCTTAAGAAATATAGGTCTTCTTCCAACAAATCACTAGATAGAGTGTATTTAGTACAACAATCTTAGAAGAGACTTGAAAAATTAGTAATTTTATTGGTGGTCTTCTTACCTTGACATGGAACATTATCAATGGTTGAAGGGAGCTATCTACCACCTTGTAAAACATAGAGAAGAACTTGTTGCTAATACAATCTAAAAAAGCTTGGACCTCATCAATTTATAAAGCAAATTGAATGCTTCTCATAGGACTTCTTGTTTAGAAGAGGGAATAAATCCAATAGTGTTTCTTTTGATTCAAGTGAATAGAAATAACTAGAATTAAATAGAACTATGTTAAAAAAATAATAACTTTATTAAGAAAATTTGTTGAAGTTTTCTAGATGCCAAATAGATATTTAAACTTTTTTAGATATACCATGTAACTATTGAAATTTATCACATAAGTTTTGTACTTTGAAGAATTTGCATTAGAAGCAACTTACAACTTGACACTTAGGTCTTAAGCCTAGCCATTTCTAAGAAGCTTCTACAAGACCTTCATTGTATTTAATGTATATAAAGAGAAGATTGAGATCATTCTTAGTCTTTTTAATACCTTTCTTGTGTTTTAGTTGTGGTTCAAGACTCTCCAATTTCATTGTATATGGCAATAGCCATTTTAGATCTTTTCAAACTTATAACTATTTCTTTTTTTTTTACATACTTTTTAATTAAAAAAAAGTATTTTTTTTTTTTATTTGTCTAGATTTGTGCCTATGATAATGACAATAAAAAATTTAAAATAAAAGAAACCTTGGATTTTTCATAATTTTTTTAAAAAATAAATTGCCTTTTATATTAGTATAAATATGATATAAATCAATACATATAGCAACTATCTAAAAATCTTATCAATGCACTAGAAATAGATTTAACATTTTTCAAAGATATCAATTCAAACCAAAGATCAACTATTAATTATAAAATTATATATATATATATATATATATATATATATTATTAGAATAATTTTTTATACATTTATATTTTTAAAAACTGTAAATTTTAGTACAATAAAATAAAATCCAATAATCAATAGATTTATTTTAATCAGTTTTAATCCTCACAATGTGAAACTTGAAGTGAGGATTTTTAGCAAGGACATGTCTTTCTTCAAATAAATAGAATAATAAAACATGAGTGGTACTATAGCTTTAGAAAAAAATCTTTGTATTTGTAAATACTATTAGAGGTATATAATACATATAACAATAATTTAATTGATTCATAAGAAGATAGTTATAAACCTTTTTTAAATTGATTAAATAGTTAGAGGTTCTTAATGTTTAAATATAGATTATTATTAAATATTAAAACGATCTATCAAATAACTCTATCTAAAGTATAGGTCGGTATTTATATAAATATGATTTGATAGATTTTAGGCTCCATCAATTTGTGAAGTAACTTCAGCTTATTTTGCAAAATTCATCTATGCAAGAAAATAGAGAAATGTATTGAATTCATATATTGATAAAATATATAAAAATAATATAAATATGTAGTAATAACTTAGATTGTTAATTTCTTCCAAAAGTCATATTTAAAATGCTTCTTAGACTTAGAATAAATATACAAATTCTTCTAAATATGCCATGTGCTTATAGTAACTTCATTGTAATATTTTCTAACTTCAAAAAGATATTATAGAAGCAACACATAATTGAGACACTAGGCTTACAAGCTTTATAATTCATAGAAAGCTTCAACATGGCATTTTACTTTGCTAATATATATGGAGGCAAGGTTAAGACCATTGTCAATTCAATCTACATCTTTCTTACTATCTAGTTTAGTTTAAATATTCTACTAATTATTAGTATTTGGCAAAAGCCAATCAATTACAAAAACAACTATATAGATATATTTCTTCATGCCTAAAATTCAACAAAAATGCACATCAATATATATATATATATATATATATATATATATTCAAATAAAAATGCTAAACTTTTAAAACCTATGAAATTAAAACTTCAAAATAATTACTCTTATGCATCAATGAAACTTCAAAATGGTACCACTATTATTACAAAGAAGACTTGAGAAACCCTCAAGCCACAAAATAGCAATATTTGAACCACACCTTGGAATCTTGCAATCTGCATTATAATTTCAACTAATGTAACAATTCCGTTACTATTAGAATTCAACCTAAAACCTACACACTGTAATAAAGAAATCAAACCACCATCAAAAAACACAGGCACACGAATCAAAAAAAGAAAAAAAGAAAACAAAAAACAAACAACATCAACACTACTGCCGCAATTTCGAACTCCACGCTAGGTAAAAAAATGTAATACAAGGATTCTAAAGCTAAGAATTAGAACAAAACATACTTTAACAACAACAGTCCATAACTCTATTTATGTGTTGGCTTATTTTTAGAAGAGAAGGACACATATGTTGGAAACTTTAAATGCTTAATAATTTTTCTCTCTGTAATCCCCTCAATGTAATCCCTGAAAACAACCATATCAACTTGCAGCATGGTGTACGATAATCCAAATGCTAGTAAAAAATCCTTTGGGAAGACTAATCTCAAGGTCACAAAAATGCATGTATAACTTGTTGCCAACTGTTGATTTCTCCAGTGGACCTTGACAATCCTCATATTGTTTTGTAATGTCATGTGCACCTTGAAAGAAGCAATCGCCGTAAGCCATGCTCTTCTAATTTACCATGCACACTCCACATTGAAGGAGTGGATATCTATCAGCAAGCCATCACCAATAAGAACAAATCCGTAATTCATTTGTTCAAACTTCGACGACAGAAGTTTGGCTCACAACGGCAGTCCAAAGGATCTTAATGCAAGGGGTGATGCAAAAATACGCACTTCTTTCATGTATACGAAACTTATGAAATTACTACACA